CCCGAGCTGATGGTCCAGTGGAGGTGACTCGTTTGTTTGGATGCAGAGATTAAAAGAATAATTCAAGTGCCTGCAAGTACAGCCGGGCCCGCATCGTCCATGTCTTGAAACCCCCGTCACTCGTTGCTGAATAACATCTGCTGCTGTATTCGTGTCTCCTGCTTGGACGCGTAAGACACTTAAGTTTGTCGTGTCGCCCTGGTTTTCTCTGTGCTCCTTCCTCCCCTCCCTTCTGTGCACCAAACACGCTGGCCTTTCTGATCCTCAAGCACACTCTGCCCTCAGCCTGCTCACCTGACTCCCACTCACGCTAGGCCTCCACGTGAATGTCTTCTTCCCAACACCTACCCCAGAATTTTCCTTTGGAACGCTCCCCAGAATGAAATGTGTTTGGCTTACACGTATTTAACCTGCTAGACTTGCAGGTGTTATCTGTCCAGTCTACTAGAGCCCAGCCAGCAGCTGACACCAGACAGACAAGGGAATGACCCTGGAGCTCACTCAGGTTGCCTTGAGGGACTGCACCAGAACTCATCTTCCCGAAGAAGATGGCTCTCTCCTCCCAGCCAGAGGAACGATGACGTCCGCAGGCTGCAGGTCACTAGGCAGAGAGTTGCTCTGTTGTGGTTAGAAAACCCTCCCCCAGTACAGCCTCTGCATTGTCCTAGCCCTGTCTCTCTCGATGACAATGGCAAGGGGGCAGGGGACAATGCCTTGTCTCTTCTGCCATCCCAACGTTAAGTTTCCTCAAGAAAGCCTATCCCTTAACCCATCTGTGTGATGTGGAAATTGTCCTGAACCCAATTGCAAGGCAGATGGCAACTCTAAAGGGACCGAATCTGCATAACCAATTACATTAATATTCAGGGGCCAAGTATGATTTCTCTGCCCCTAAAAAATGCTTTGGCCTTATGCTATATACTGATGACTTCTGCATTTACATCTACTGCCCCGACCTCTTCTCCAGACTCGTGTGTAGAGCTGCCTCTTTTACACTTCCAATGGTGTATCTCTTAAGTATCTCAGACTTACCCGCCCAAAACTGTTCTCTTGATCACCTTCACAAACTCAGTTCCCCAGAAGAGTCTACTTCCTCAAACCAAACTCTTAGAATCATCTTTACCTCCTCTTTTCTCAAACATCCCATCAAGCAATCAACAGATCCTACTGTCTCCACCTTTGAAATGTGTCCAGGATCTGGCCATCTCTCACCATCCACTGGTGCTACTCCAATACGAGCCACCACCAAGGCTCTCTTGGTTTGCCGTATTAGCTTCTTATTTTGTCTTATTGCTCCAGTCCCTGGCCCCCCATGGCCTTTTCTCAAATATACACGTAGAGTGATTTTGCTAAAACTAAGTCAGCAATCAGGTGTTCTCTCTGTGAACAACCCTCCAAGTGCTTCCCATCTGTTAGTAAAATCCAAAGTCCTTTCCATGGTTCACAGGCCTTCACTCCGTGTGACCACTCCTGCCACATCCTTTCTGCTCACACTCTCTCCCACCTACTCTGCCAGCCACGCTGGCCTCCTTACAATTCTCAGAATAGCAGCCTTCATTCTAGGGCCTTTGCACTTACTATTATTCCCTCAGCCTGCAACATTCTACCCCAGATAATTGCACGGCTAGCTTCCTCATGTCTTCCAAGTGAGGCCTTCTGCAGTCGTCCTTGTTAAAACTGTATCACCAATACAACCACCACCATTCCTTACACTTTTTCGCCACAGCACCCACTCCCGAGAATGGTAAGTTTCACGGAAAGGACACCATCTTGGCTGGGTTCTTAATGGTAGAATTGTGATTAGGAAGTACACAGGGGTAACAGAAATAAGATAAGGTAGACAGCAAAAACTGTTTTCCAATGGTTACCTGAGGATATAATTACACTTATAGTGTAGGCTCCAGAAGTGACCTCTGTTGAAATGGAAATCTTGAATAAAATGTCCCCCTGCCTAAAGCAAAGACTGGTTGTATGCCGTTTGCAGCAGCTGGACAAAAATGCCCAGAGTACGGAAATGTCTTTTCCTTTTAACACAGATCCTTTTGGTTACTGATAGGCAGAATCAAAAGACGGAAGGCAGAGAAGAAACAGAATAAAATATAGGTTGTTGTTCAAGAAAATCCCTTTCCCAGATTGAAAGGCTTAGCACTGTGTGAAAAACTACTTAAAGAGCCAATTTAGAAATCCTTGGCAGGGCAAAGAGTCTTCTTGGTCTTGAGATCAAGAAGTGATCACGAAAGTAACTTGCAAAAATAGTTCATCAAAAACAAAAGACAAAACAAAAAAATGTTCTAAATAAAGCATATCTTGAAGGTAGCAAACCCCAGAGGCAAACTAGTTACCCTTCCTCCCCAAGTGTCTGCCCTCTCCCACCAACACCTCTACCAAGTGACAGAAAATATTTAGCTCTGGCTTTGTTTTCAAAATGAAAAAAATGACGCAGGTATACTTAGCAGTATTTACAAGAAGATCCGCCGATCAAGAAGGTAGCATCAGAACTAATGAACTATGTCTCTCCATCATTTGGATGAGTTACGAATTTTTACATACAAAGTCTGACACAGCTTTGTTCTTGGGAGAGTTATGCAGCTTAAACTTTTTGATGGCCTTTAAAAATCTGTAGATGATAAGAACTCATCAAATATTTTTCATAATAAAAAAAAATCTGTAAAAAGCCACACTGGTCTTAACATTTACAAAGAATATACCAAAGTATTAATAATTTTCTTGTCATTAATCACTATCAAGAATTAAATATCATTTTGTTAGTGACTAAGTCTGTATTAAAATTAATCCAAAGAATAAATACAAAGTGGAAATATTTTTCCCCTTGACCACTTCTTTTTGCTCTGAGCACAACTTATATTTTATCTTCAGTCACAATTTTTCATTGAAAAGATAACTATGCTTTCAAAGTGAATTGAACTGCAAGCCTTTTTTTATGACTACATTTCAGTGAGTGGTAAAGGAAAAGTTATTTAGTTGAACTTAAAGTTTCACTTTAGCACTCAGCTAAATAGAAAATTTCAAAGGAAATTCTGCTTAAAGATATGATAAAATACCATATGGTCCTGGCTTCTAGAGAAATTCTATTTCATTTTGTAAGTTGAGCAAATGTGCTTATTAGTCAAAGTGAACTTACAAGATTTCCATAGGTTTTATAAACTGAGGCAAACTAGTTCACTTGAATTGCTATGTACCTCTCTAGCATTTTTCAAAGCAAGACAATATATTTGTAGAAATCATCATTCCTTCTCAGGGGATCATGTACCAGACTCTCATATCAACTTAAAATCCTGAACTCCACACAGGACATGTTCATATAAAATGTCAAAGTTAAGGAACACTTAGACACTAAAAGAAATTTTTGTAACAGTAACGTTTTTAGAACATGTATAATTCCATTTACATTCTCAAGCTTTTCAATTCTATTTATCTTAAAATTAGTTTCATAAAATGTTATTGATTATAATTCAATATCACTGCATAATATTTTGAGAAATATCTGGTAACTCTTTTGTTACTAGGCAATTTCATGATTCAAATATCCTGTTACTGTTTTGATGTTATTTGCACTTAAGCTACCTTTTAATGAAAAAACACACAAAAAACCTTTCTCAAAAAAGCATCAAAATGACGTGCCATTTTTATTTTGAAGATGGTGAAAGCCAAGTATGGGTAAACTAAAAGTTCTCTCCAACTGCAAGAGACTGAGTCTCTTAAGAAGGTAAGTCCATCCTCTGTCTCAATTCCTATTACCCAGGAAAACACCCTACCAGGCAGATAACTGCTGTTCATACTATCTAGAGTGAACTAAATTAGAAATTAAAGAAAACCGACTATAAAAATCTATGTGAAAAACTATAACTAAGCAGCTCCTAATCAATTGAGAAATAAATGAGACTGAATCAGCTCTTTATGTGCCCAGATGAATATGACATTTAAACACCAGGCCCAAGTTTATCTCATGTCTGCTGTTTTCAAGTGGCTACAAGCAGAGGCTACCTTACAAGCACACGGTCCAGCTCCACAAGCAGATCATAATGGCACCAAATTCATATCTTTTTATAAGAGGGCAGATTTACTGTCAGTATTAAACTGACAGCAAATGGACAGGGAAATGAGAGGCTGAAAACCAAAAACTCATCACACAGACACACACTAACACAGACGCATTCTCAAAGTGCTTCACACTATCCTGTGCCAGTTATGGGTACCTGCAGGGACCGATGGACACTGAGTGGCAATCATCTCCTTGTCACCTCTGCGCTTGATCACATGCCACACTGTGCCGTTCACTTCAGCACCTCAGCTCTCAGAAGACTCACAGGACACAAGGCCTGTTCCTCACGAGATGCTTCAGGACTCTGCGAGCTGCTGCTGTTATAGTCATGCCCAGGAATCCTGGACCAACACCACACAAGCTTCTTCTACTCCCCAGTCAGAAAGAACACACAAAAAATTCCTTATCAGACAGCTGGCAGGAGCGCACGGGAAACTGATTTTTACGTCACAGATGTCGGCAGAAGATTCCTGGCTTCAAAGCAAAGTTTAGAGTAATAGTACACTGTTATCATAGACTGAGTTCCAAAGTTTTTCATTGGCTAAACTCACATCGCATCTGTGATACAAAGCTGATACTTAAAAATGGCGAACGTAAGACCCTATACTTATGGTTACTGACTAACCAGCAGTTCTTTCCCTGAGTCAGCTAAGCCAGGTTCTGCTGTTCTAAGACAAAAGCTGAATTCAAAGAGAGCAAAGCTTCTATGAAAAAGTATCCCATATTTAAAAAAGGAAGGAAGGAAGGAAAAGACGGAACTCCCACAATCACCATTCTGCATGCTACTCAGGCAATGAATAGGTATGCCCAATGAAATTACTTTTCACCACTGGTTTCAGGATATAAGACCATTAAAATTAGAACATGCTAAAAAAAATTCCATTACAGTTTCATGAAATCTGTCTGCTGTGGAAAAATATCAAAATGCAGTCTCACATAGGTTGATCATGTTAGATTATAATATTTATTTAATTTCATCATTTATGATCACTGTGCCATAACCAAATTAACTCCAGCACAACTTTGACATTTTAAAACACAGACAGCATACTGATTTTTCAACTACTTCACTTACATGTACTTTTCAATTGTCATGCAGTGCTCATAATTAGGAGATACTGTACATTAGCCCTCTCATATGAACCAAATTCAAAGGGCAGAAAAATGCCAACATAAATTCATTCTCCAAAACTGCCCATGAATGTGCTGTCACTGTTTCTTCTAATAACATACTTATGGTACATTCTTTAGTAAAATGTGTAGCTGTAGTCACATAACAATAGTTATGATGAGGCAAGAATATTTCAAGAAAGGAATACAACAAATGAGACTGAAAATTGGAGAGGAGAGAGCAGGGCATATAAAAGTCATTTGAGAACACCACACAGACTTCGATGTTTCCCACTTCCTAGTTGGAAAGAACAAGCACAGAGTTTTCTTAAGACAGATGTCACGAGTGCATGAAAAATTGGCTTTCGTGTCATACATGTTGAGAGAAGATCAATGCCATTGAGGAAACAGAACTGTTTTCCTTATCTTTTGGGTCTGTCTATATCATCTATAGCAGACAGAAGTTTTTGTCTTGCTTTCTTATTGATATGGGATCCCAGGCAAACATTTACCAGATTGGTCAGCTGCTTCGTTGAATACTCCTGCTCGGAAAAAGAAGATTCAGATTTAGTACACTAAAACACACGTATGTGATCAATGCAAAAAAAAAAAAAAAAAAAGAACAGGCAGAGAGATATTCGAGTCTCGGTAGCTAGTTACTGAGCGCTACAAACCAGTGAAAAGCAATGGAAACTGTAGTTGAAACATGGAAGAGAAACTATGTACAGCGCTGTAAGAGCAGGGAGTAAGGACACCGCAGTACACATTTGAAACAAGAGGCACTAGAGTCTTGAAGTGATATGGCAGATAACATGCCTGTGCTTCTTGTTACTTTTAAGATCACACTCTGTGCTTGTTTCTGTGAGAGTCTTTGTTATTAAGTTATCAAAATACACGGACATCTCAAATTTTTAAAATGCTACTAAGTAGTTTCTGGCATGGTACATTTTGCCAACATTTTGGGTAAAAGAAAAAAAATCTCCAACCACAGAACAACTCAATAAATGAATAAGGTAACAAAGATCAGAAAGTTACTGGTTTTTAAACCCTTGTATTGTAATTGGCAGCTAGAAAGTAAAATTAAGACTACAGCTGACCCTGAACAACGCAGGGGTTAGGGGTGCCAATCTTCCACACAGTCAAAACTGCACATAATTTATAGTTGGCCATCCTTATCCAAGGATTCAACCAACTGAGTATCGTGGAGTACTGTGGCATTTACTGCTGAAAAAAATTCGCATATAAGTGGACCTGTACAGTTCAAGTCCATGTTGCCCAAGGGTCAACTATATAAGCATTTTTTGCTGCACAAACCTATTTGGTTCCTGAATTTCAGATAAGTTATTAGGATGAGCATGAATGGAACTCATCAGAAAGTTTTACAACTTGACTTGTTACTGGAGGATGAATAGCAAGAGTTCAGCTAGGGGAAGAGAGTTGTGAACTATCATCTAATGAGAAAAGAACAGGTCTTCACTGGAGGTAACCAATAAAGACAGTGCAATTTCAAAATAAGAGGAAGAGTCCATTTAAAAAAATTAGCAAACTGCTCAGTTTGTGTATGTGATCTCTGAGAGCACCTGTAAGTACCTGGGGAATTCTCTCAAGTCATCATTCAACATTTAGAAAGCACCACCCAAGCACTGCACTAGACATTGTGGCAAGTTCTCTGGAAAACAGGACAATCCCTGTGGCTGGGCAAATTTCAATGAATTACAAATATCAGTTAGTTAGGGCTCTTCTAAAATACTAACCTAAAACTTTTAGCCCACTGTATTAAAAGAATAAACTCGCCAACAGGCATTGTCCTCACATCAAATTGGATCCCTAAGAGCTGTGCCTTTTCTTCTCAGCTACTTGTCTTCCTACCCAACGCCTTCCTCAGTACCAGCCCCAAAGTGTCTACAGCTCACTATAGTGAATGGATTCTAGCAACATTCAGCAGTCCATCTGCATCTGGTTTAGCACTGTGGTTCTCAAACGACAGAGATCAGTGGGACTAAAGTGGTGACATTTTGCTCAATTCTGGTGCACTGATCAGTCACTGAAAATAGCATATATGTTTCTACTTTGCTCTCAAAGATCTGAAACTACTGTTCGTACTGTAGGTACATTTATGCAACACTCAGGCTAATGTTTCTGGCTAAAACTCATTTTATTTTTCTAGACTGTTGAAACTAGAAAGAATGAGCCTGATAAAGTAAATGTAAGTAATTCCTCACTTCCTTACCCAGTAAAATGAAATAAAAATTTACTTAGCTTTTACCCATGATGTTTATAGCATAAATAAATGTGAATACTAGAGTAAGTGATGGAATCAGATTTGATGATAATTTTAACACTTTTCATATTTTCATTAAATCTGTCTTCACATACTGTCTATCTAGACAAATGATATAACAATTGTACAGAAAAGATTCCTGTATTGAGCATGCTCTGGTGATACTTGAGTCGAACTGTGTCAAAAATTCAGCATCCTAAATAATACTTGTTATAAATAGTAATTTTCTCTACTTATTTATATCTACACAAAAGAAAAATAATCTCATCTATACTTATGGTAAAATGTAAGATCTAAGGTAGAATGAAGTTAAAATTCAACTATTTAAATATTAATAAATCTAATCATCACTACTACATGTCAGTGTGTTGAGGCTGTCACCCATTCAGTGTTGAGGGCTGCAAGACAGTTTGAGCCCTGTAAGACTTTAGCCTGTGAATCTTTTCAATGTTGTTATATTCAATCTGTCCTGATGTTAACCATCTGCAGCCTTTTCCTACAACACAGCCTAAGGATAAACACAGCTAAAGTTCAAACTGGGGCTATCTCTCCAGGTAATTACTGTTACAGTTCACAAAGTCTCAAAAGGATCTGATTAGGCAAAGGGCACATTGCACAGACTGTGAGTATCGTAAAGACCGGCTCTAAGGAGCTCATGCTAAAAAAAGCAAATGTTTCTATTTCACCCTCGTGATTTTGAATTATATCATACACCAGACAAGAACAGCACAAAGGAAAAGGAGTAAAAATGGAATTAACTGCTTCCCAGCTCTCACCCTGTGCTCTTTGATCCAGCGTTCCATGTCATTCTCAGTTAGGTAGTAGGCTTTAATATAGGTCTCCACAAATTCTTTATCGGGAATAGGTCTAATATCTGTTAGTTTTTCAAGTTTCATTAAAAACTGTTGAAAGTCCAATTGCATCAAGGCACGACCCTCATTACTACACTTCTTGACGTTGGCATATCTAAGATACACAATAATAATTTTAAAAAACATAAATGATGGAATGGTTAGAAAAAGAAGCGTTTAGGTACTTAAACTTTTCTCTAATCCACATTTGGTGACATTCCACGAGAGGATTACAGGAAAAAGAACACATGAGCCTTGAGTCAGAAGGATGGGGTTGTGTTGAGGCCCTGTCACTCAGTAGTCATTTTTCCTGCCTGGGCCTCAGGCTCCTCACTTACAAAGCAAAGAGATCAAATGACCTATAAGGCTCTTTGCTGCTGCACTGCAGACTATAGTTGTGCACGTTCAATTAACATAATCCTCTGTAAGACAGTTAACGCTGGTATTCCAGTTAATCTGGCTGCCAAGAATTATGTATAAAACTAAACTATGAATATTCCCAAGTAATCTTAGTATCATAAAACTCTTCAATATTTAACCACTTAAAGCAAAGAAAAAAATGAAATAACTCTCCCATAAACATTCAGCAAACCCAAGAAACACAGGAGCATATAAACATAGAAAGTATTTACACAGTTTTCATAATAAAACACTTTAGAAACTTATTCTGACACCCCACAACACTAAAAAACTGTGTGTTCAAAGGTGGACTAGTAATAAGAACAAATACGCTAACCCTAACAGTACAACATTTTATTATTCATAAGTAATATTTCTTCAGTCAGACAATATGTGAAGAATCCAACCATAGGAAACAAGGTACCTCCCCTAAGGAAATCTGCAAGAATAGTTGTTTATATCATTTGAAGTTACCAATTTCTCTTTTTTTTTTAATAAAAAGTGTTTTGTACAGAAATATAACATTTGTAATTCATGTTTCTACTATTAAACAAGTTTATCAGGAGTACTTTCCAGTCATGACCGCTGACACAGAGCCACTGTGGGATTTACAGCACTTTTGGTTTCAATACAAAATGCCAAGGCTGTTGTCAGCTTGTCACAGTCACCTTCCACTTTCTAACTTCTAACACATTCTTTTTTTTTCTTTTTTCTTTTTTCTTTTTATAGAACAAATAAGAACTGAAGAGAAATCAGATAAATGATAATGTGAACATTCAACTGATGTGCAATTCTAGATCACTGTGAATCATCTTTGAAACAGCGATCTGCTTTCCAGGAGTATTTTAAATGTATTACTGATTCTTAACTGCGTTACAGATGTCGTGGGCAGGGTCTCTGAGTGAATGGGAAAATTACTTTAGATCTGTAAACTAAAAAAAAATATGAAAGATTTCTATAGTTTACAGTGCTATAATAATGATATCATTAACAATGACATAGTGGTTACGAGGACTGATTTTGCCATTAGAAACTCAGGCACTCATAAGCATTCTCTACATTTAAAAACTGTGAACTTGGATAAGTGACTTAACCTCATTAAGCCTTGATTTTCTGAGGCTAGGCTCTCTCTCTGTTGATAGAACACAGAGAAAAACACCATCATTGACAATTTATGTTAAGATTGATAATGGAATCTTACAAAGTCCTTAGTTCAGTAAATGACACATAGTGTTCAATGAATGTTACATATAATCATCATCATAATTGTATTACTAGGTTATAATGATGATTACTTTCAGACATTAATTAGATGCTGCATTCCTCACTGTTCTATTAGCTGTTTCTAAGCAAGAAAAAACAAAGGGAAGACACAGTGGGGCTGAAGGTTTCTTCTCAAATTATATTCCAAAATCAAACCTGAATTATTATGGGACTGTCTGCTACTTATCACTATCTCTACCTGTCCTCTCCATCCATTAGTGATGACATATAATGTTATTCATATATTATGATTTATCACTGAAGAATCGGATAATGCTTTCCTGAAGAACTTACCCTTCCACAATAGTTCTATTAGCCAGGCGTATACAATGTTCCCAAAGTATATTAGACACGGGCAAGGGTATCCGAACTCTCTTAGAAACTTCATTTAACCTCATGTTAAACTGCTCAAATTCCTAAGAAGACAAAGATCATGGCCATATGTGAATATAATTATAATGCTACATTGCTCTCCTATCTTAGTGGCAAAAAAGATTTAAAAAGACTCAGAATGAAGACTCAGAATGAAATCAAGTAAAACAAAAAGAGATAATGCCAAAGATAATTTGGACTTAGTGTGAAGTCTTTTTTTCAAGTGTATCCAATTAAATAAATTATGTTGTAACACAGTGTACATCACATTTCTTTTCAAAGGAAGTAAGTGTCATTAACTGATTAAACAATAACAATGTTCAAATGTTTCTAATTTCAAATTTTTCTCTGTCAGTATAGATTAAAAAGGCTTAATAACATAATATATCTTTAAAAATATCTTCAAGAAACCCAGGTTTTATGAAAGTGTTTTAATGAGCTTTCAACTCAGAGTGAACTATTTGTAATTTGTAACTACACTCCTTAGAGAGCAATCTGATAAATTATTCTCTTTCCTAAACATTTTTAAAGTAAATAATTACATACTGAGTGATTCAAAAGTCATGCAATAGCTGTAAATTTTAGCACAAAAAAAACCCCATATTGTCTCATTAACTATAGAAAAAATAAAAACACTTTTACTACTTATTAGTAACTTTTATAATACCACTCTACTAAAAATTATAATATATGTAACTAATTTACACATTTCCAACAATTACATGGAAGTAGCAGATGGTTCACTCTTCAATAAATTTATTTCTGATTTCTCTGGACTACCATCATCTAAATATGTTCATTTACAAACGTAAATGCCGTTAATCCTTCCTTGACAATGTAGTTGAAATAAACTTAACAAGACCTAAAATATTTTTTTTTAGTTTCCTTGATAGAGAAGCTACAAAATGCTTATCAAGTCGAGACTGGCATGCGTTCCAATTTCCTAATAACATACAGGTGGAAAAAAATCTAATCTGATCGTCACCAGTCAAGTTATCACATGATTGGTGGGTTATCCTTTGCTTCTCTGAGTCTTCCTAAATCACAATTTTTTCATGATTTATTTTTGACAGTTAACTGCTCTCAATTTTTATGAAAAAGAAGAGGACCTTCAATCCATTCAGCTTACTTTAGAAAATCAAAGGAAGCAAATAGTGCTTTTTTCATTTCATGAATTCAGTAGAACAGCAGTATCTGCTACTGTATTTATTATTCACTAAACTCCGCTTTAGGTTTCAAGAGTCAGAATTCAGTTATTTTCATTAATAGTCAAAAGATAAATGTATATGCTTACTATATAAAATGTCATTCTACTCATTGCTAAATTCAATGTTCAAGAATGCTTGTTGTTAAATGAATAATAAAACCATTTCATTTTACTTTTGATTCTTTTGGGGCAACAAATGCAGTCTGCTTTTACCTAAAGGTTTGGACTTGGAAAAGTAACAGAAAGAACAAAAGTTATCATAAAAGTTCCTTTATGAAAGAAAGTAACATTGGTTCTTTTTTATATATTAATGTTTCTTGGAATTAAGAATAACTGACGCAAGTAGCCTCCTTCTCGTATGCATGTTCACTGAGGGCAGAAGTCTCTTTCTTCTTGCATTCCCGTAAGTACTATAATCAGCAAGTCATAAAAAATAGAATCAACTTTTCAAAAGTAGAATTGTTTAAAAAAAAAAGAGGTGTGATTATTTATAAACAACATTTATCTTCTACATTCCAAATTAAAATCCCCAGCTGACATCTCCTGGGTGCCCTAGAAATCAAAGTTCTTTCAGGTTGGCAATTATAGAGCACCATTAGATCTCATGCCAGTGCCTAGATCCTGCTAACTGATTATGATTAGCACCCGTATCTGTAGTTCCTTGAGTCTGGGGACAGCCCCACAGTCCTCAACCCAGCCCTCCAGGAGGGTCCCCTAGGTCGCTGGGAGTTGGCAAACCCGATGAATTCTGCTGCTACCTGTTTTGATCTCCGACTTTGTTTACTGGTTCTCAAGAGTCCCAGGCTATTATTTATTGACGACTAAGCACGTAAGAATGTTTGTGTAAATGAGATAAGTCAGGAGGTATGAAGGGCCAATTTTCTTTTCACTGACGAATATGAAAAGCAAAATTTTTCTGAAAGCTGTTTTCATTTTCTCAGATGCTCTTTCCTCACCTCAGACATGCACACGGTCCATTTCCTCACTTCCTTCAGGCCTCTCCTCAATTCTCACTTTATGACTCACCATACCTTGCCACTCTCTATCCCTGTTTGGCTGGTTATTTTTTCACAGGACTATTCATCACCTGACATATTATATATTAACATATCTCTTTACTGCTGTCCCCGCACTGGCATGTAAATTCCTTGATGACATATAAGTTCCTCAATTCACAACTATATTGCCAGCACCTAGATCAGTGCATGGCACGTGTCAGTTGATTTAGAAATATCTCTTAATGCATAATGAAAAAAACCCCACAATTCTTTCCAAAAAACTTTTAAATGTAAATCATTAAACACAAAGGTGTTTGCATGACACATTGCAAAAGTAATATGACTGCTGGAAAAAAACAACTTAGAATAATCATGAAGGTAGTCTCTTACTAGTGAATACACCCACCCAACTATAGAAATTCTTCTAATTAAACAGAAATATCTTCTTGTCACTTCAGTCACGGCTATTGAGATCACATAATATGAAAGCCAGCCAAGACATGCTAGTCAAACTCTAACTCAAAACGGGAAACTAGTGAGCAGAAACAAAACACTTACAAAGTATTCTTGGCTCTAAAAGAACACACAATTCGGAAAGAAAGCCTAATCCATCTCGGGGACGTTAATATTACGGGAACGCTGGCATGTGGTAATAGCTATAATCTCAGCTGTAACTTCAGAGCTATCACAATTACAGGAACAGTCTCCTTAGCAGAACTGTCTTTAACAAAGATGTTTCCCAGAGTACTTGCCTTCAACAATGCATCTACGTATATGTTGTGCTGTGACATAATCTCTTTTACATCCCATTTCACATTAGCCATGAGGAGCAACATCTGTTCATAATCAATGGCTTTACCAGCTACAATCCAGTAAATTGGTTTGCGTAGTTCACTGGCCGTTGAGACTGTCTGAAATAAATTTCACAGAAATGAAAACATAGTTTCCCAAAGTATCAAATTTATAAAGAATACTTTGTTCCTATTTCTTATACACATCACATCTGAAAATAAAACTCTGTATATACACTTGAAGTTTTAAATTATGAAAATACTTTTAACTCATGCGCAAAGGTGAGACTCAAAACATATTTTGAGACATTCAATAAACTTTAGTCCACTGACAATACAACTATAAAAGAACTACAGACTTTCATGAAGACTAGCAAATACTTCTCAAGTTCTTTCGTTTCTCTTCATTTCCACTCCCGCCTCCAAACCACACCTCAAGATTCCACCATCTCTCACTCGCATTAGTCTGACAGCCTTTGAGCTGGTCTCCAGCCTCAAGGGTTGCCATCTAAAGTCCATTCTTCAAACTGCCCCTGAGATCCTCTTTCTAAACAAAATATACACCTGACCATGCTACTCACCACCTGTTTCAAATTCTCTAGCAGCTTCCCAGCACCCTCGACACAAAGTCCAACTCCTGGCCTGGAGCGCCATACATCATGCAGCTTCTGCTGAATCACTCCAGCCATTTTCCTCATCACTAGCCCTCTTTCTTGTTCTGGCAATTTGAGTTTTCCTCAGCTGCTCACATGCACCATGCTCCCTCTCATCTGCAGATCTTCATGTAAGCTACTCCCTTTAGTGCACAACATTCTCCTGATTCACCCTCTTTCTTGTTGGTCCAGCTTAAATTTTATTTCCTCACGACAGCCTTCCTCGACAACCTTCTTCCAACCACACCCTGCCCTTCCTCCAGTCAAGGTTAAATACCCTGACACTGTTTCTTTCCCCCAACTATACTTTATTGTAAATACAGCTTTAATTGCTCTTCCACTAGACTAAAAGTTATATGAGGTTCTCAATAAGTAATTATTTAATACAGGAATTCATGACTGAATAAAAGAACATTCTAATCAAGCTCTCCTGGGGCTGGGAGACTGACCACTAATAAAAAAAAAAACCTGAATAATGTGTGACAGCCCCATCTTGCTCACAGTTGAAATGATATACAATACATGTCTGACCTGGGAATAAAACTGCTGAAGAAAGGGTTTTTTGACCGCTGGCATCACAGCATCCAGATGTGGCTGAAGGAACTCAAACTGTTCAGCCAAGAATACTCTAAAGGGAATAAATAACCCACCGTGTAAACAAAACACAGGTTTTAGAGCCTGTCAATATTTCTCTATAATGAATCTTTAAGATCCCTGAGCAAAAGTTTAACAATTAACATTATTTTCCATTTTAAAGAACTATCTTGCATTACTACCTGACATACTCATTTACAATTCACACAAAAATTGATGCTAAGTTTATCACTGAACGTGATCTGATGTGAAAGGCAGCCAGCTTTCAAAGGAGTTAATCTGGTTACCAAAAGGTGTAGAGTTATGCTGCTTTGCATGTAAGATATGAGCACAGATAACACAAAAGACTGAAGGAAGAATACAACAGTATTTTTTGAAAGGATTTCTTTTAAAGATGCCATGTAATTACACACAACAGATCTGTGAATTCACAGATTTAACACCTGACACTTTTCAGAACTTAGCCAAACATTCGTAACAGGCAACACACTGGGACTGGGTTGAGACATGCATGTGAATTTCAGGCTAGGAGGCTGGTGTACACAAGAGGGAGTCATCTGGCTGGAAGGCTGCAGGCAGCCATACTACTCTCTACTTTTAGTTATGCACAAAGAAAACTCTTAAATTACACTGGACTACATTTTATGGAAGAAGTTACATGCTTTAATTTTATTAAAGAATTTGGGGATTTACAAAGGTCAGGAGGCACTCCTGCTGATGTCAAGGGTTGACTACATTTAACACTAAAGTGACAATGTAACTACTGTTTCTCTGGAATCATAATTCAATGGGGAAACATAAAGTACTATACTATAACATGCTTTTCTCAAGTCTTACTTAAAGCAAGGATCACATTGCTAAAGATTGAAACTTAAAAGGTTTCCTTCCTTCCATTTATATACCTGAAAATCAGCCATGCAGTTTTAAAACTCGACTGGTAATCTATCTTAGGATATACTTCTCAGAAAAACATAAGTGATATTTAGAAGTAGAAGATGTATGTAACCTAGCAGGATAATTATACCATGCTTACTCTTATAACCTTTCTTAAATATTTAATGGCAAACAACTGTTTTTGACAACTTACAAGGATTCTGTGGCTACCACTCTTTCCGCCAGCCCATACAGTGTATCCCCAGATGTCAAAACCACCAGGTGACTGAGGTGAGGGCTCGGCACCTTCTCCTTTCTCTCCTCTGCTGCTGTGAGCGTGGCAGTAGGATCAGTTGAAACTTCCTAAAAACAGAACATACATACACATGCAGACTGAAGTAGCAAATCTAACGGCAATAAACCACGTGACTTTACAAACTGGAACTGTAATTAAAATACACTTAGACGTACACTAATTACACTTAGTTTCTGTTCTTTTCTTCCTTCTTTTATATTTTCTAACTACTAAAACTTTCCTTTTTATACTAAGGAAATGATCCAACTCCATATGCTATTATCTGTACAGGACCTGAAGTCGGCCAGTACAAAGAATTCTCATGACTTGTCAGACATTTCACAGAGTAGTGAGACGCCCTTCAGGAGCTTGTGAATGAGGGAAAGGAGGCTGCCCCTCCAGAACCAAGCTGATAGAATCCAAAATTATGTTGTGATTAACCATTTCACACCGAAGTATAACTTCGGTATAATCCCAAGAAGGCAGGACTGAAATATAGTTCTAAACTGAAACAGAATCAACTGTATTGTAAATGTCTGGGGACAGATTATTGATCTGAAGGAAGATGGTCAATGGAAATAAAAGAAAGGGATGTCGAAAAAGCAGAGTGGACTGAACCTTAAAAGACCCTCAAAGAAAATTATAGCACAAAAATTGAACACAAACAAGAATAAAAGTGCACAAATATAAATCTACATTACTTTTTAAATCAATTACAAATAGTCACAATCTCTAACATTTTCCTTACAAATAAAAGACACATCACATGCATAGGAGGCTGGTAGTGTAATTAGGTTTATAAATTTAGCAAAATGGACATAAAACATTATAAAATCTTTCAAGTTAGACAATGGTTTTATTCTTCTTTAATTCTTTCTTATACCTTATTTTCTATGAAAGGTATTGTCTCTCTTCAATCTCGAATTACTCAATTTGCATTTAAAAGTGGAAACAACTATGCTTTCTATAAGGAGAATCCAGATAAGGGAACAATGCAAATTAATCAATGTCACAGCTCCATTATTTATTTCCTTCAACTAAAAAGGAAAATAATCACCCAACTTCTGCCAAAAAAAAAAAAATCATAAAATTACATACTGTTTGGTACCAGTTGGTTGCCTATGCTATTTAATTTACTTTGGTGGCTATATAACCACATCTAGACTGTCCAAGTGAAGAACTTTAGGATCATCCTTGGCAACCCTTCCTCCTCACCTCCATCATGCCTAAACAAACACCTCTGTGGTTTGTTCCTCATGTCACTACTTCATCAAGACCAAGGCCCCACAGCACCCTTGACTGGACTATTCTAAACGTACCCTAGTAGTCCCTCTAGCTTCTTCTGCTTTTACTCCACTTTCCACACAGTCAACTGGTTTATCTTTCAACAATACCTACGTGATCTTTCTAAAATGGAGATGTGATCATACCACTCCCTAATTTAAAAGTTTCAATTGACAATCCCTTTCTTACAGGAAAAAAGCCTAAACTTGTTGCCAAGATAATACTCCTTTAAAAATGGCTACCTTGCCAGCCTCATTTCAAGATAATCTCTCTTCCCACTAAGGTCTAGTCCCTCTGGACAGTTTGCTACACCTGTCCTACTGACATTCCCATCTTACCAGTTCTCTCTTGTCTGCCTAGCTCTTACCTCATTTTTTAAGTCTGAGCTCATATTATTGCCTCCTTTCTGTAACTTTCTCAGTCTCCCAAGAAGAATAAGTATCTTATGTGTGTTAACATTATCTATACCTACATGTATACCTGTATGAGGCACCATAAAGTGTACTTTATCAGTTGTTGTTTTCTGACTCCCCTACCTCACTATGAGTTCTTGGAGGGTAGGAACCAATTTTACCCTCTTTGCATTTCAAGTTCTTGGCATGCCTCTTGGCATCAACAGGCCCTCAATTAGGAGGTGATGGTAAGAATCTTCTCTTTCTCTCTTATTATTCTTCAAGCCTATACCAATCAGGCTTTTGTCTGCCCCACGCCAAAGAAAGAGTTTTCAAGGTTCCCATTGGCCTCCTTATGGCCAAATCCAATAATCAACTCTGAATATCATCTCTGAAAACTCCCCCTGACTTTTAAATACGGGAATGCCCCCAAAGTTCAGTCCTAAGACTTACATTCTACTCCCTAGATGATTTCATCTAGCCCCACAGCTTAAATCCCATCCACATGGCAATACCTCAAGATTTACATATGAGCCCTGGCCTCTCTCACCGGTAGTGCATTTAATGTATCTGAAACTGAACTCTTGATGTTCTCCTCAGATGTGCCCCTCCTAAAAGTCTTAACCGTCCCCAGTAACGGCACCTCCATTCTCCAGAAGTTAGGTGCCATCCTTGACTCTTCTCAGTGTCAAACCCCTCTTATAATCCATCAACAAGTCTTGATGGGTCTACCTTCAAAAACAGATCCATCTAGGGAAATACGCTTGAAGAGAGCAAGAGAGTCACCAAAATGTGAAGCTGACATAAATAATGGTATGTGCTTATTGTGCACTTAAACAGAAAAGCTCCATGATAGGATCTGTGTTTCAGCTTATACCAGTACAGGAAAGACTTTAAGAAATGAAACCTTAATCAACCTTTATTGTCACAGTGAAAAGTTAACATTTTCAGCCTTTCCTGCCACTAATGCACAATACAAAAAGAATTCCTATTTATGGACATCTCTGGATCAATTTAAAATATATTTTTATTGTCAAAGATTAAAGTTGGCCAAAGGTCTTAAAGCCAACAATTTAGCGTCATCAAGTACATAACTAAAAATTCACATTTCTGGAACCATTATCACCCTACACTAATATCCTTTCCTATTCATCTACTATCAGACTACTTTTCTTAAACTTTTATTTGATGTGTCAAATAATTTTTTTTAGTTTACAGTGAATTTATATGATAAAGAATTTCAGGTCACATTTTTAAGAATATAATGATCCCATTTTGCCTTTTACAACTTAAAGAGAAGTACAACTTAGAAGATATATATAGAGAGAGAAAATAAAATTCCCAAAAAAGTGCTTACTAAAGTTTTAACTAACACATAGGAGAAATATAAGGAAAAATACTTGCATTCAGTGGTTCCACATTGATTCAGCTATAAATTATTTTAATAGCCAAAGAATGCATTGAATAGCAAGAAACCAATTAATGTTCTCTGCCAATGTAGATGCAAATTAATGAAGTGAAGAATACTTACATAGCAGCTTATGAAAAAATATTTTTAAAAGTAATAAAACAATGCTTATCAGTATTAGTAATAATTTAACATGTATTAACATTGGAAACTGATGGAAATTTTCAGAAAAACTTCTACTGTATGGCTGTAGAGTCTTATCCATCAGAGGAGTAAGGACCCTGGAGAGGCTCTGTCAAAGGTCAGCGTTCCTTACAAACTGAAGGAGGAAAGACTGCTCCCATAGTTTTCAGTTCCAAGGTACAGTCTTTGATTTAACAGATGGTGAGAATAGGGACTTAAAGAAAAGATACCTTGAAAAGACAAGGTGCCACAGAAAAAAAAACAGGTATAACTAGCTACTCATTTTTGGGAAGAGGCAAGTAGTTGATTTTAATAAACACTTTTCTAAAGCTGATTACTACTCCAGTTTGGGAAAAAAATTTATCCAGTGAACATAGAACTGGTCTGACAGATGCTACAGATACAATTTATCAGTAGATGGGTGGCAGCTTGTCTCAAAGAACAGCTAGTTTGCCCCCACTGTTTACTTAGTCATGCTAGTTCATTGCATACCATATGACAAAATCTGCAGCATTAAATTCATGCCTTAAGGGTCAGATCTGGAATTGTGTTTTGACAATCATAAGCTAGTAACTAGCAGAAATGGCAGAAAAGCACTAGAGTCAATGACTCTACTGGTAAATTTCAGCCCATCAATCTTGAGGCATTCAGCCAGAAACAAGAAAATTTTCAGCTGTGGACTAAGATCTGGAAAACAAGATCTACAGGTCAAGGTTATACAAGTATCAAAAAAGGAGGTGCAAAATCCAAACACAGATAAACTGCCAATGGGACTGAAAGCCAGTGGATTTTACACAACAGAGACACTCCTCCCACTAAAAAAAAAGGGAAATAAATGGCTGTGTCAAACGAGGAGCCTTGACTCTGAAAACGAAGACCAGGATTAAGTAAACAACAAAACCAAGAAAACAAACCAGGAGACACCAAACTCAAGGACTAGAGTTTATTCATTTACTCTACAAATGTTTGTTGAAGAGATGCTGTGTGCCAAGGTAAGTGCTATGAATATGAATATATATCAAAAATGTAAGTGCTGGGCAGAAAGATGTCCAAATGGTAAGGGAGATGGGTAAGATGTATACAGTTTGTTTCCTCCGCATAAACAGTGCTCACCTGAAATATCAACACATGCTTCTTTTACTTTATTCGTATCTCTGCTCAAAAGTCACTGTCCTATCACTCTGCTTCATTTTCTTCCTAGCACTTAGTATCTGACACTATTATACATTTATATGTCTCTCTGCCCCAGTAAAACACAGGCTCCAAGAAGACGAGAAGTACCTCTTTTGTGCACTGATGACTTTCTAGCACTAAAAAAAAAATGCTCGTCCCATAATAATTATTCTAAAAAGTAGTTCTTAAAAGGATGAATGATTACATTACTTTATGAAAACTTCAGTAACAGAAATAGGCTCATAATGTAGAGCTTATTAGAAAAAAAGGGAAAATAATCGCTTGTTTGGGTAGATGAAGGAATAAAGGAAAACTCATAGATGCAGAGAAATGCACTGAATAACAAAAATCTCTGGCTATAGTGACCAAGCTTAGGGAACTTTTTTTATTTTAAATGTTTACGTTGGCTTAAGCACTACTGAGAGTCAGTTCTGTTTTGCTACCTATCTTTTTAAAATATGCATTTCATCATGTGACACAGTTAAGAATTCAGACCCCCTACTGCACAGCCAACTCATCACAAACTTCTTGAATGTTAAGGCCATTTATAAAGTGGTCCTAAACACTCTTCCCAACACAACTCTTTGGCATATACCAGTGTCCCATCACAAAGACCTACCAAAATTTGGGCCACGCTTGCTCTCACCTAAAGACCCTTGCTCAGCCTCTGAACGTTAATTTGACTGCTATTCTTTCTCCCCTTCCCCATTAATCCCGTACCTGCTCTTCCAAGTTTAGCATAAGTCTCACCTCCTTGGTTAGTCATTCTCTGACATTAATTTTGCATAAACCTTTCTTCTCTTTGAGCATGCACTGAAGGTAGAGCAAATATCATATTCTTTCATGTGTACTAGCTTTCTCTATCAGACTATAAGAAATCTCCATGTGACGTCCTATAAGCAGTTAGTGTACTCAATGTACACATAACATACATTTACATGTAACTGATTAGATGGCTAATTTCTATTTTAAGTAACCCAAAAGAATTGATTCCAACTGATTACTTACCAGATCAATGAGGCTTTCCTGTATTCTGTTTAGAGTTGTTCTTAGTCTACTACTACTTAGGCCTAATCCTGTTGATTCCAACTGAAAAAGAAAAAGAAAGGCGTGTAAAATCGCCCTGGAGATAATCCTGCAAATGTTATAACTTCAAAGTAGCCAAAATTAAGTATGTGCCGAGTTTTCACTCAGATACTTAGCCTTCAGAGGGTTTCCAAATTGCATTTAAAAATTCCAAAACATCGAAAAAAGAAGTCAAACTTTAGGCCTCAAGTGAACAAGAGAACTATTACACATGTGCACTGACAGGTCATACCAACATACACCAATCTAATGAATTTATCAGGAGAGAGTTCACCAGAATTTCCTTTCCACAAGTTACTATTTTTAATTACAAGACGTAAGATTTTTAGATACTTAAAGAACCCAAGAATACAAAGGGCCACACTGATACAGAAAAAACAAAGCAGAGATGATACATATTTTCAGTATCAAGAATTAGAGAGTGGTTATCACTACAGATCCTTCAGACATTAAGAGGAAAATAAGGGAATATTATGAAAAATTTTATGCCAATAAATCTACCAAACCAGATGAAATGGTCAAATTCTTTGATAGACTTATAAAAACTGACCTAAGAAGAAACAGAAAACTTGAGCAGCTATTAGATTAAATTTAATAAAAACCTTCAAAAAGTATTAATCCTATGTAGACTCTCAGAAAACAGAAGAAAGGAGAATGTTTCCCAATTGTTTTATGAGACTACTATTACTCTGACTCCTAAACCAAAGATACCACAAGAAAATATAACTACAGACTCATAAATTTCATGGACACAGATTTTCTTAAATCCTTAAGAAACTATTAGCAAATTGATTCATGACCTAGTGGTGTCTGTCTTGAGAATGCAAGGTTGGTTTAACAGCCTAAAATCCTATCTTGAAATTAACCAATGTACTTCACCATATTAATATATTTCTCTTTAGGAATGAAGGTTATGATCATTTAAATAGATTGAGAAAAAGCATTTGACTAAATTTATTCTTTCATGATAAAAATTCAAAAAACGAGTAACAAGACACTTTCTTCAACATGATTATGGGCACCTATGAAACAGCTAACATCATACCCAATGGTGAAAGGCTCAATACTTTCTGTCTAGGATAGATGAGGGATGAGGGAACAGGACAAGGATATCAACTCTCACCACTTTTATTTTACATTGTACTGGAGGTCCTAGCCTTTGTAGGAAAGACAAGAAATATAAGGCATAAAGACTGCAAAAGAAGAAGTGAAGCTAAATACTGGATACCAGGATACTTCCCTCTAAGCACTGATACAGCTGAATCTCACAACTTTTGATATGTTGTGTTTTCATTATGATTCAGTTCAAAATATCTTTTAATTTCTCTTGTGCTTTCTTGTTTAACCCAATCTTTACTTAGACGTGTTGTTTAATTTCCAAATACTTAGGTTTTCCTAGTTATCTTATTGTTCATGGTTCCTAATAACACTGTCATCAGAGAATATATTCTGTATGATTTCAATGTTTAAATTCATTAGAATTCATTCTGTATGAATTAAGTACATTCAGTAATTTTTTTAATTGCTAAAAATTATCTTTTTTTCAGTTTTAGGAATTATCTTTGGTTTTTTCAATACTGTTTCTACTAGTACTTTTTATATCTCTACTGAGATATTCCTGCATTTAAAATGTTTTGTTTTACTTTATCGAAGACAGTTATAATAGTCCATTTAAAATCCTTACCCTTTAGTTCCAACATCTTGAGGTAAGACTATACTGCTTTTCCTTTTACTTAAGGGTGTATTCCTTTTTTGGCTCCATGTATTTAGGTAAAGTTGGAATGCATCACCAATTTGATTCTGGAAATTTTGGACTCTGTCATTTTTCTCTGGTAACTACTGCTTTGTTCTCAGTATGCAATTTGCTTGGCCAGGTTGAACTACAAACTCTCTCTTATGCAGCAGCTTCAGCCTCTGTTCAGATCTTTTTTCTTTGATTGACCACAGTCAGTCTGCTCCACATAAACACGGTTCATGGGTTAGTCAGACGTGGGGGTAGACAGAAATTGGGGATCCCTTCTCTGACTATCTCCCTTCTGAACTTGCCCCTACTCTTTTCAGTGTTCCCAGTTTCCTGGCTTCACTTTCCTGGTTCCCCAGCCAGAAAGACTGCAGAGTTTCCTATGGTTGCCTCCATCTGTGTGCCTCGTTGTTGCACTTATTTCTGGGCTAAAAGCCATGGAGATGGAATTTATTTTTCTAGCTTCCTTTTCTCCAGCCACTGGCATGAACTCCCACCAGGGTCTACATGCTTCTGCTCACTCTCCAATATCTTCAGGAAGCTGTCTTTTGGATAACATCCAGGTTTTATAATTACTTTCTGCAGGAAATACCATCTAGTAAGATCTCAGTCCCTCATACCCAGAAGTGGAGTTAATTCATTCTTAAAAGTTTAGATAACAAATCTTCCTACAAAGAAACAGTTCCATTAACAAAAGTTAACTTCAAATGAGGCTCACAAACTGTTATCAAGTAAGGACCCTCATAAGATTTACTTGGATAAGAAATAACCAGCACATTAATCCATGTATCCTAAGAATATGCTATGTGCTTACTACTGCATTAAGGTAAACTACAGAATGGTCTTCACAAAAGAAAAAGAACAGGAAGGACCAAGGAAAACATAACTCAAGAGCTGAACAATGAAAGATTGGTACCTCCATAAAGCAATACTATAAGTATCATTATTATAATAGAATCACATGGATTGGCTATATAACAGGGCATAATGTAGTAGGCTATAATCAGTTCCGTGAAGAGCAGGAGCTTCTGGAGTAATTAGTATAAACAGAAGGAATCCCATACAAGCCAATGACTTTCTAGACCCCCTGGGGTACGGATGCTTATTTGTCACGAGCAGCATCTGTCTAAATTCACTCATACAATTATCTCTTCTGGGAAGGAAGCAGGAGTAGCCATGTTAAAAAGTGCAAGTAAGAGGCAGAGTAAATTCTGTATTTATTCATACATACTCACTTAGGTGCACATTTTGTTTTGGTTCATATAATACAAACTGTTTCTAATACAATATATGAGTGGACACTCGGGTTAAGGATAGAAAGAAACCCTTCTAACTGACAATTAATTGTCTGAATACAATGAAATACCTTTTACTGAGTCTTACATGATTGAAAATACTTTTAGTATAAAACATCAGATTAATGTGTTCTTGAAAACATAACAGATTCTAAATAAAATATGCAGCACATTTTACCATAAGCACTTATTGGCCCTTTTCTAACTTCCTCGGGTTCCAGGAACCCTCACTGTAAACAAATCTGTGTTAGTATCTAATCAGCTGGAAAATCACATCTAAAAGCATAAAGTTCCCAAAAGTTTTCAAAGGACACTATCTTAAGACATTTTATCAAAATTGTGGTCCAGAACTATTTTAACCAATATGAATAGTCACAAGTCATATGTAACTATTTATATTTAATGATAAATTAGCTGAAATCAAATACAATGAAAAACTTAGTCCCCAAACATACCAGTCACATTTCAAGTACTCAACAGCCACGTGTTTCTTGTGACTACTATATTGCGCAGAGCAAATACAGAACATTTCCATTACTGACAAAACTTCTATTGAACAGCACCGTTCTAGAGGCACAGCCCAGGGAGACAGAGTAAGGCTCACCTACAACTACAACTACAATCAACTACAACTCTAGAATGTCTTCTTCATATATATATATACATAAACATATAAATACATAAAAATATACATATATTTATGTATTTATTTATTGAGTTTCCAAATTAAGAGCAAAGAATTAATACATATTTTAGAGTAACAAAAATCCTACAGCAACTCACTCTCTGATTACATTAGTACTCTCTAATTTTGCAGAATTAAGACAGGACATTCAGATCCCACATTAAAAGATCATGTCTTCGATATACTTGTAATCACAGCATGAACATGAACATCCACATGAAGAATATAGTTATCCATTAAAATTCACGTATTTTTGAAAGGGTACAAAATATAGTATACGAATAGTTAGTATATGATATATTCGTAGGACCCAACAGCATGCTTTTATACAAAAACTGTCAAATATCTAGGTGGACTATATAATAATTCCCAAATATCAGAACAGTTATCCGCTTAATACTGTGTTGTTCTCCTTAGGAGTAGAAAAAGATAAACTCAACAAGAGCTTTGGAAACACAAAAAGGAGGTACAGGAAATATGAATTCTGTGGCAGGCAGATGGTTCAGTTAAAGGTTTTCAATTATTTTAATAAATATTTGCCATTATCTTCTGAACGTAGTAGTGCCTGCTAAGGTTGTTAAGCCAATATGTAAAATGGCTCATTTATTGTGTAATAATTACACACTGGGCCAGATTTAAACAAGGCAACCTGCCTGCTTTTCACTGCCAAATATGCCAAGGTTAGAAGTGGACGCTGCACTTTTTCTGCCAAAAATGTGAATAACATACAATATGTTTATCATATCAAAGCTTAAAATTAATATATAAAGAAAGCAATTGGGCAGACATATTGATCATTTTGTTGGACTTTTGATGGATAATTTTCAAAATAATGTTATTTGTATATTTTATACACAGAGAATAAACTTTACATTTAAAAAAACAAATACATTTTAAAAGAAACAGATTTTCCCCCCCAAAAGGTTGACTTACTGAATCATTCCGACCAAAAAACGTATATATTGCATATAAGTAGTAATCAAATAGCTGAGACATGAAATGGATAACATCAAAAGCAATTGGTTTAAGAATGTTCATCATCTGCATATATTTACCTGAAAAGAAAACAAATAAAATTAAGTAGAACAAAATCAAAATCTGTTATTCTATAATTACAAAGAAACCATAAAAATACTTAACCAAAATATTTTTTTAAATAAAATATTACATTCCTCAGTCACATTAGCCATGCTTCAAGTACTCAATAGTTATCTGTGGCTAGTGGCTACTGTCCTGGACAGCACTGATCTAGAGCAGGTATAATATCTTGGAAAGTACAACTGGACCCCACTGATACAAGTAACAGCTGCAAAGACTTTTCCTATCATTATTTACTGTTTGTTTTATATTTATGGAACTTCTATACTCTTCTACAAATGGCACTGTACAAACACACAACACAGTTCCTCATTTCTTGGAGAGTCCATTTAAAACAATTTCTTCAAAAATGTTTAGGTGTAATAAAATAAAGACAATGTACTTGAGAAACAAAAATTTTTTTTAATAAGCTTATACACACATAGCAAAAGTAAAATTACAAGAAGAAAAATGACACGTGGAAGACACTTTCCATTCCCCTGAATCCCAGCCCTGTGAAATCTTGTGTCAGAGGCTAAGAACATGTCTTTATCACTACATCACTCAAGAGCTCAGTTCTCTCAAAGTGCCAAGAACACGTCCTCCTCATGCCTTCCTTTGGGAGATGCCAATATTCCATTCATTTTTCTCTAAACACATGATACAGTTACAGAAAAAATAATGTAAAAACAAACATTTCTGCATTAACAAACTTGTTAATGTGTTTGAAGGGTGCATGGGAAATGGGCTGAATCAAATAACAAACCATAACAAGTCCCTAATTGTGTTTGTTTTCACGGGAAATAATAAGGAACGAAGCATATCTATAAAAACATGCTCTTCTGCAGAAGATGTTAAAACAGGCCATTTGCTTAATTTCCACATGAGCAAATAACTCAGATGCTGGCTCTACTTCATGTAACTGCTATAAATTTTAAATTGGTACCACTGAGGACATCAGGATTCGAGAGAAAACACATTAACTGAAGTAGAAAAAATGACAAATTTACCCTAGTGGAAATGTCTACTATCAAAACCATTTCTTTATTATCTAAGAACTCAGTACATCTGTCTTAATTTACATGAGAAATGATTCTACATAATAGGTGGTCAAGAAGACACACATACACACATCAAAAAGTAAAAGCTATTCAATTTGGATTCTATTCTTATTCCTATTTACAAGTCTTTTGTTTCAGGATCATTTTTAGTAGTTATTTCACATAATCAGACTTTGTTTTTTAATCCCAATTGAAAAATATGCTCATAGAACATTCTGGATCACTATGCAGATATTTTGTCAACTGCAAACATACATTTACATTACAAGTGTTTACATATTAAATAATGTGACACTGTGCTGGAAAAAAATAGAAAAATGTTATGTTACTTTTACCTGTAAAAGAAAAATTTTTAAAGGTGGATAAGTAGAATGAGGTAAAATGCAAATATCTGGGTTGATACATATTCATAATACAAAGTTCCCCTCCATTCCTAATAAGATTAACCACAGTTCATACAATTCATCTTAAAAAGGATATAAAAATGAATTCTTAATAGGTAGAAGCTATTTTAAATGTGCATTCAGAAGGAAAAAAAAACTTAAGATGTTCCCAACTACTTTGAAAAAAAATGAAACATAATTGCATTCATTCATTCACTCACTCAATACTGTCAACACACTTTTTTTTTGAAAGTTTACTATGTTCTTGATCTTGCGTTAAGACACAAGGAATTACAGTCCCTGCTCTCATACCTTACATGGTCACACACAGAAGGCAGCTGTCAATAAGCAGGCTGCCAGTGTATTAAAAAGTAAAAGAGTGGGAACTCTGTCTTTCCAGTTCAGGAGGGCAGAGCAGGCTTTTGGAGGCCACAGTGATAAGTGCTTGTTATGATGGAAAAGGCACTAAATCTGTGTAATAAGATATTTTGAGAGAGAGAGCCAACGCATTCACATAACTTTTATTATACTATACGGTTATAATTATTCTATTTTATTATTAGTTACGGTTGTTAATCTCTTGCTGTGTCTAATTTATAAATAAACTTTTTATAGGTATGTATGTATAGGAAAAAAATAGTATATATAAGTTTTAGTACTATCTGTGGCTCCAGGCGTCCACTGCGGGTCTTGGAACGTATCCCCCAAGGATAAGGGGGACTACCGTATAGGCTGCCAGAATCTTCCTACAGATAAAATAAAAAGAAAATAAAAACCCTTAAGATTCCTCTCTAAAGTAAACAAACCAAAAACAAACCCAAAAAACTGAACTAAAAAAATAATACATTAGAAAAGCTACAGTTTCTAGTGTGGATTAAAATCTACCTCATTCAGGGAATGTGGGGCTTGTCCCTATGATGTGAAGGCCCCAGTAAACCCACCCAGACCTGCCCTACTCCGCACAAAGTTCACTGTCAGGATTCCTACTAAGGAGAAAGAGCCAGGTGACCAGAGTTCTCATGACTCAGCAGGGAACACCCACAACGGCCAAACAGGCCTTCCATCATATGTATGAATAATCAATACTTACCCAATGAGTAAGGAAACTCAAGATGGTTAAAGTAAAAAGAAAAGCTGATCCCAGAGAAAACAGAATAATTCAAGCTAAAGAACAGAAATACAGTATTTATGTAAAACCCTACAACAGGAGAATATAAAGGGAAAACAACAGAATATCGAAGAGTTCTTAAAGATTTGACCAAAAATCATTCAAAATGCAATTTTTAAAATAAAAAATTAAAGAAATAAGGAAAAGGAAGTCTTCCAGAAGGTACAGCAAAATACAAGAATACAGAAAAAATGAGAGAAAATATGAGAGACGTATAGGGCCAAAGTAAGAGACTAAACACTTGAGTAAGGGGAAATCAAAGAAAAAGAGATTAAAGAAAATGGGGAGGTAGAAATCATCAAAGAAATGGTATCAGTCACAGCTGAGGAACAACGAAACTTTAGACTGAAAAGGGTCACGAACTACCCAACACACGTAATGAAAAAGAACTCACACCTAGACACATCAATAGAGAATTCTGAAACATCAAGGGAGAACACACTAAAAGCTTTCAGAGAGATAGAGAGAAGAAATTCACCTACAACAAAATGAATAGAACATGAGAGATTTCAACTTTCTGAAGAAAAGTAATTTTTAACTGGCAATTCTATACACAACTAAATTGTCATTCAGTAAAAGAACAGAATAAGGACATATTTAGACTGACAAGGATTCAAAACATTTACTTCTCATCACCTTTTTTCTGGGAAATTACAACTAGAAGAGAGACAAACAGAAACAGCCAGGAAATTGCCTCCACGCTACTGGTCGGGAGCAGTGGGTAGGAGACTGCTGCTTTTCACCACACTATGACTAAATGTCCCTTTAGATGTACATATTCTGGTTTAATGTTAAATCCTGATGCCTGTGCTGGTGTGTATTTTTTCCAGCTGCTAAAGTAATAAGTTTGTTGTACGATCTATAGTTTTTACAAGCATGGATTTTTGGAAACATATCATACCTGCTCAAATGAGAGCTGCCTCAACAGAGAGAATCTTGGATACCAAAGCTACTTCAGTGATGAGACACATTCCCTAAAATTTCTCCACCTCAGTCTGCAAGAAATGGTCAGGCTGACAGGCTTCTCTCTTCTCATAAGCAAGCGTTTTGATTAGTCCTGTGCACTTGTGAGAGGCTCCCTGAGCCGTTCTAACAGATTTGGGTACCACTTGGGGCTGGGAAGTCCCATTAACACTTTTTTGTTTAATCTCTGCTAATTATCTGTCAAATAAATGCCACTTTAAAAAGACATTCTGAATATGCCTTTAATGTTCTAGTGCTCTTATCTAGTGAATAGTTAGTTCCTTCATTTTCCCAGGTACCAAAAATTAATCTATCTTATTTATACAACCATACTTATGGATTTGTAAGAAGAGACACTACCTTTGTCAGTTTATAATCTTCAAGCACCTCTATGCAATAACAACAGGGGGTGGAATAGTGCATTTACAAGTTGAAGACCCCTTAGTGAGTGGTTCCCTTAGAGTTCTATTTAATGAATACGTTCAAAATGAAGATAAAGACATCCCAGGGAGAGAGAAAGTGGTAGGCATGAAAGTCTACTGAGAGGAGTAATAACAGCACCAAATCTCGCCCTAAATCGAAGGACATGGAAGCTAAATTATCATACTAAGTATTGTTTCCTAATCACAACTCTAGTAAAAGATCTAGCGGTAAAGAAGACTGAAATTACAACGGTCAGATTCTCTTCCCTGAAGAAGGTTTTACTCAGGACTGCTCTGGCTTTATAGGCCCACAAAAATGCGGTCTTCCTGTTTCTACAATCCACTGTCAGAAAACAATGTACACTGTGTTGGTCAATAATCCTTATTAAGAATTTGTTGTTACTGTCTTCTGAATTTTGCACCAGCAACACATTTCTAAAATTACCATATCCCTTTCTTAGATAATGAGAATAGCAGAAGGCACTGTTTCTTCATTTCATATGCCTAACAAGAAGTGAAGATTTACATTTAACTGAATAAAACATGATTTCCCCCTCCTCAATTTTGCTGTGGCTTTAAATTTGATTTGATTTGAGTGACTATATGCCTTGCAGAGTAAAAAGTCACATGATGATCTCTAGTCTTTTTTCAATGAGGTAAGGTAAAAAATATAAACAACCACTGAAATGAGGTTGATTGTATTATTTTCCCCAATAATCTGGTCTTCCTCGCCTCCACTCCCTGTAAGAGAATTATGCATCCTCGTCCATTGCCCCAGACTGGTAGTGCCTTCCTGTGGCAGAATTACACTTCTCTCTCCCACAGTCAAGCATGACTTGCTATGACCAATGATACATCAGAAGTAGTCAGGGTACCACATCAGAGTGAGTCATAACATGGTTCGGCTCTTGCTCTTCTCCCCACATTGGAGCTACTTTTTCAGCCTGCATCTCAGAATGAAGACACAAATGGGGCAAAACTAAGATGATCAGGAGTCCACATGCATCACGATAAACCTTTGGGTGGAAAGCCACTGGTATGTTAGTTTGCTACTTCAACATAACCAAGCAAAAGCTGGCTTCATTTAACTACATCTCAAACAGTGTGTTCAGACACTGAAAACAGTGAGTCCGGAAGGCTGAGGAGGATGACAAGGATTTTGGAACATCCATCAGTGAGGACCACGTAAGGGAACTGAGTACCTTGACTCTGATGAGTGGTTTGGAGGACGTGAAGTATAAGGAAAGGACAGGCAGTGAGACTACCACAACATATCTGAAAAGTTACCACATGGAAAAACAGGAGAAAAAAGTATAGACTTACTCTTTTTGCTCGTAAGGGCAGAACTAAGATCAAAAGATAGAATTACAGAAAGAGAGATTCTGGTTTACCATAAAGAAGAAATTTCTACCAATTAAATCTGTCTAATAGTAAAATAAGTAGTTTTGCAAAACAATGGGCTTCTAGCAATTGTGAGACATGAAACAAAGGCTAGATGACCACCACACATTAGAAGCAATAGAGAGAGACTTCCTTATTGTATGAGAAATGATACCAGATGACCTCTTCAGAACTGTTCTAATTTTGATTTTATAAATTCAAGTAACTCTTGATGCTAGCTAGATTCAGCTGTCACAGATAAAGAAGAAAAGCTAATTTCCCTGGCAATCAGCCATACAATTGCTTTTAAGAAAATATCATTTTTCTGTGTGTCATAAAAATGTATACTTTTTCTTTTCTGCTCAATTCATTATTACTTTTTCACACTATTTTCCCTGAAGAAATGGGACTACTAAAAAACATTTTGTCATCTTTATCCTATTTATTAATGAAATTTAGAAATTATCTTCAAGAACACAGACTGTTTCAACAAAGCTAAGAGTAACTAAACTAGCCAATGGGATATTACCAACTCCATAAACAGAAAACAGGGATTTTTACAGACAATGACTCAATTAACGTAAGAAGACATCTCTGTAACTTACTTGTCAAAGGTACACACCTGTTTGTGAGCTATAAAGGTTGAGATAGCGTATAAAATGTGGAAATACTGATATTAAAAAAATTCATATCATCTTCAAACCTAAACACTTCATATGGCATTTCTTCATGTTATCTGCCTTCTACAAAATCATCAATAAAGGTCTTATCTGTAATAAGAACAGCACTTCCTACAGTGTGAACATTTAGCTTGTAGAACTCCTGTGGCTGAAAATGCCAGAGAATCACTTTTCACTCTGCCTACCTGACAAGAAAAATTACAAGGATCAATGAAACAATTAAGTACAAAATATTGTGTAAATATATAACTGGCACTATCATAACCCTACATGTACCTGTGACTCACACAGAGAATTTTTCCGTTACATGTCTATTCATTGGAATATTTTAGAAAAAGTGGAAGACACAAATACTAAGTATTAACTAAAAAGGCAAAACTGATATTAATATTAGTATTATACTGTCTGGAACAATTGAGAGAGTACTGACATACATACGATGATCTTAAATCCCTCACTGCAGTGGACACTGGAGTGCACAACAAAAATCCCAAGTAAAAATCATATGATAACAAAAGTAGGCTAATTTAACTGCTATAATAATTTTTTTAAAGGTGTAGCTACTTACCAACAAGTCTTATTACATTCAATGTTGTATTTGTTAAGATGGGTGCATTCACCTTATTTAGACTGTAATCTGATTTCTTCCTGCTTTTTAGGGTCTCTCGAGAAATACTTAATATGGAAAAACAAAACAGATTTGTAATTAGGGTTGTCAAGTAGTAAATCATAAATTATTCAGCTTAGGATCTATCTATAGTTCATTCACTAATTAGTTACTGAAAATCTTACCATGTATTAGGTGCGGATATAGAGATTATCTTCCTGTCCTTACAAAGCTTATAGTCCAGAGAGGAAGAGAAATTAGTAAACAGGGAAATAAAGTACTATAATGTATTCCTTTGATTCTTAGACATTAATTATCAACCATTAAAAAAAGCTATGTCACTTAAAGAAAAAATGTTGTAGTATTTAGGGAAATTTTGCATTAACCATGCCAAGCACCCTGATTTCAGACCTACAAACATGAAAAAAAAAAAACCTTTCTTAAAATCTGAATTAAGCATTCAATATTGAGAGCAAAGCCTAGGGTTCGGGGACAGTGCTCGAGTCAAAGAAAAAGTAGAAGTTATATGGTAAGTGCAGAAAAAAAGGGGACAACATGTAATAAGGTCAGAGGCAAGAGAGAACAGAGTGTGCTCAGCAAAACATAAGGATTCACAATGGTAGCTTAGAGTATGAGTGGGCAGAGGGAAACGTGACAAGAAAGGAGGTACACAAAGGTCAGATTACTGAAAGCAATCAAACCTCATAATCCTAAGGAGTATGAACCTTATCTTAAATGCAGTGGTGAGCCATTAAATATTTCAACGAGGAAGATGATATCATCAAATTTGTGTGTATAAGAGAAAAATCTAAATTTGTATCCAGGAATGGATTAGAAAAGGTTAAGACTGGTGATGGGAAACCAAGGTAAGGGGGCTGATTTAACAACCTGGCCCAGAGATTTCCACATGAACTAGGATGGTTACAGTGAAATACAAAGAAATATTGATAAATTCAAGAGGCAGTCAGAGTTTGGAGTTGATAGTAACTGTCAACTGAGTGGCAGCAATTAGTAGGTCACACTGTGCACATTTCCTAGAGGCAAGTTAAGACTGTTTAGGAGGATGCACACCCTTACCAAGAATGCAAGTACATAGATACACATATAACAGCAGACGCTTACTTGTTCATTTCAATTTGATTAAAGCTTTCCTTTTAGCCGAAAAATACCCAAAATATCTAATGAAGAAGTCCAACAAAATAGTTCTATTCAGTTCACACTGGATCACAGATGTAGATAATTAAATCTCATACATGTGTGAAAAACAATGGAAACAAAATTTTCCCAACTGAAATATCCACAATTACATGCATCGTTCACTTTTGAGGAGAGAGATTGCAACAATCAGGGTTTCAAATCAATCAAGTATTAACTAGGCACTTTGGGGGTAAAAGGTAGGGAAGAGTATAATTTATCATTAAAAATAAAGTATATTTGTGGTCACTCAGTAACTGATAGTGATGAAATTAACTCACTCACAAATGAGAACCAGGCCCAATTTAACTGGAAGAGGGACAAAAATTCTTATATAATTATCACAGCTTTTGAAGATGACAGTTTAAGATAAAACAATACACAAGTACAAAAAAGGAAACTTAATAGGAGGTTCAAATACTAAGTATAAACGACACTGGGAAGATTTTTCTGTATTTACTTGACTGAGGCACTCCACATCCAAGCAAATGACTGTTTTCCTTCTTGAGGAAAAGGAAATTGACATGAAACATAAATTTATCTATGTGAAGCATAAACTGCCTCCAAAGGCAGCAATGATTCTATAAATTGAAAGTTTCTCTATCTAAAACACTGATGTCTAAATTAAGAGCTCTTTGATTATGCCCCGTATCAAAAGAACTACATTTCCAGCCTTTCAGGAATCATTTTTAAAATATATTAACTTCTGTCACATGAAATTATAACCAAAAGAAAAACTTAATTTTTGATTTTTGTTTTTTCTTAGCCTTCAAAGGAAATCCTGTAGGTGTGCAACATAAAATGTGAAATACCATCCAATCTAAGAACAATTACCTTTTCACAGGAGCATCGCCTGTCTGCTCATCAACATAATCTCGTTTTAGTTCCTCAGGAACATCACTGTCACTGTCATACTCCTGATAGGCACTTTTTTCTTGTTCATCAGATTCATACTGAAGAGAACACAGTATATTCAACAATGGATATGAAAAGCCAACCTTTCTTGGAGTCTTTCAACACAATAAAAGTATCCAATTTTATAAGAAGTAGCTTATAAAAGAAAGTTCTTAATAGTTTTAATTTTGCTATCAAGAATCTTATTAACCTTCCATCTTCTTTTTCATCATCCTACCTTAATTAGCTCAAAAGAAAAAGAAAATACAAACATTATAACTTAACAAAAGCTTGTAAATGCCCAAAGAAGAAAAAACTCTCTATATGAAGAAAACAAACAAAAACAAACACATACCCTGCTAGACCTTAGGAAGAGAAAAGAATGTATGCAAAGTTGATTTAAAAAAATCTCTTCCTCCAAGTGGTTTCATTATATGTATTTCCATTTTGCTGATTCATTATAAAAAGCTTGAGAATACAATTCTGGCACTCTGGAAGTACTTATGCAGCTTAATAAACATACAACACACATGCTAATGTTTAATTCATTATGATGAGATTTAATTTCAAGCGCAGCTTAGAAAATTAGGCTTAGCACCTAGGGACTCCTGAGAGCCAGGACAAAAATGGTGGGTTTACTCTTGAGAGTAAGAGTGCCTTCCTGACATTCTCATCATCTTTACAGCTTTATGGCTCAGTGCCACATGGACGAGGACAGCGGAGTCCACGCACCACCAAGGAAGGAAGCAGTGCTAGTATCACCATTATCATTATTGATATTATAAATTAGTATGATTAAACAATGGCTAACATTTGTTTATGTTTAACCAAGCACCTGGCTCAGTGCGTTCATAAACCATCTCACTGAATCTTCAAAACAATTCTATGAGAAAGTTTTACCCCATATGACAGCTGAAGAGACCAGTATGATGACATGGTAAGAAGTTACTCCCCTGACTGAACAACTAGTTTTTGAGTCTAAAACATTTTAACAGGCCATCTTAAGATGTGGACCCTGAGTCTCAAGGACTAATGCTGTCCCTGGAAAGATTAGATCACACCTTAATAAGTAAAACTGGGTAGAACACTTTCAGTAAGAAAATCTCACTTATGTTCCACAGTATGTTTTAAAGACACCACGTACCCCATTAGAAGCCAGGACATCTTCTGTTTCTTCATCCTTGTGGTTGGCCTGAATTTCAAACGGATTCCCACCACTACAGTACTGCTCAAACAAGGTTACTGTTTTTGAGGAAGCTGAGGATGGCTGTTTACTAGGTGAAACTGATGGGGAACGAGACTGTTCCATGAATTTAAATTCCTAGACATTAAAAAAAAAAAGAGAGAGCCAGATCCCTTTTAGCAACAACAATAAAATTCAAGTACATAAACATATTTCATCGATACAAACGTAGAGTTAGTGAAGAAAACAATCCTGATTCTTCAGGTTATTCACATTTACAATCTTGCAAATTGTCTTAAAGCACAGACTTGGACATACATGTTCAAAGGTTTTCCTAAAGACAACTCAGCTGTTGATATCACTTAAAAGTGTTGTCTGCATCAAGCCACTTCTGGCTTACTTTACAGAATTGCACAGAAAAATTTCTTAAATAACTTCAATTTGAATAACAATTCTAAAATTTTTTAAATAGCAGCAAAAGTCGTAGTAGGGCACAGTTTTCACCAATAAAGTCGCTTATAAAAACTGTTGTCAGGTCAAACAGCTTGCACCATTTAAGATATTTTATATGAATACATCAAAAACTAAGCATGAAAGATAAGCCTTTCTTATACTGTTGTCTATAAGCTTTCATTTATATTTCTCAATATAACAAGAAGCAGACAACACAAATACATGCTGAGGTCAGATGACACATTTTCTAGTCCTAGCCTGACATTAATCCATCACGTTCCATTAACTTCCTATATAATATTGGGAATGCCACATGGATTCTCTGTGCCTCCATTTCCTCATCTGTAAAATGAGAGGGTCAATCTAGATGAGAGAATTACAAATGCTAAAACTAAAGAGTGGTAGTGTCCAGATCAAATCACACATTTCTCAGATGAGGACACTGAAGCAGTCCAGAGAGTTTCAGTGCCAAGTTCAAGACCACGCAGCTAATTAGAGGAGAGATGAAATAATCACTAAAGTTCTTTTGAATTACAAAACTCTTAATTTATTGATTTTTCACAAAAATTTAGTACACATTTTTCTTACACCTTTTAATCTTTGCAATATTATTCCAAAATTTAAAATTTTTCATATTCAGTGAAAATCTTCTTAAGTTATATTGGTTTGTTACATTTTAAATGATGTGTTAATTTTCTTTTTAAATTGCAACTATACATTAAATCAGATCATCATAATGCTTCAAAACTGTGTCATTATTTTTATAATTGTAACAACAAATGACTATAAATTAGTAAGACAAAAATTTTTTAAAACCAAATCTACAGGAATACACATGCCAAGTGAACATTACCTCAGTTGTTAGTTTTCAAAGTAACTACTTTATTCTTCATTGTGGTTACAACATGAGATCTACTCTTAAAATTTTTTTTAACAAAGTGCATGATACAGTATCATCAACTATAGGCAAAATCTTGTACCATAGATCTTTACGACTTACCTATCTTACACAACTGAAACTTCAAGATAACCACTTTAAAGAAGATAATGCTCGCTTATATAGAAATATTTCAACATAACTTGTGAAAAAATTGTTTTAAAATTATATCAAGTATATGTGCACACACACACAATTGATGGTTAAATGCCAATTCAAGTAAAACTATTTAGAGATTCTAAAATCAATGCTAGACTTCTAAATAATGTTAAGGCATCATCTTAATTTAAGAATTTGAAAATAATATTAAAATTAATGTTAATTTTGCTGTTTTAAAATTATTTACTAATCAACATGTTTTACTGTATTTAATATTTCCACATTAGCAAAGCAATATGATAAAACTGGATAAGTAAGCTATTATAAAATAAAAGCATAAAGACTACCCCTACAAAAAAAATCAAACTTTTAATTATGTAGTTTTTACATTTATCTAAAATATGAAAATTTCTTCTAGAAAGTCATCTCTTCCAAAGGCAAAAACTAAACACACTAGGCCTTCTAAACAGGGATTTAAGTTTACATATTGTATTCTGACATTTGGGATTTGTAGGACATAGTCTATCACACAAGAAATATTTATCTACAATGTGTTTCAACCAAGAGAAAAGTCAAATCAATTAAAGATATTTCCACAGGTTACAAGATTCAAGGAGTCAATTAACTAATAAAAATTACTTGAGTTTTTTTATAAGTGTCTCTTATTTTTCAGACATTTTCTCATTATAGACAAATTTATGAGTTGCAGCATAAATTAAGAACCTATTAGTCCCTTTAAGAAATGACAATATTCTACAAACATAACCATTTTCATTAAAGATCATCAAAATGTAACTGATTATTTTTTGGCAAAATTTAAATAAAGCAATAAACCATCTTCTGAAATCTAGAGAAAACACATTATTTTAATTCTGACTCTTTTCAGGCAAAAGAGTTTTCCCGAAGTGTATAAACTGAATTTGTAAAAAGAGACAGACTTTGACATCCATAAAAGATCACCCTTTTAAAAGAGGCTTATTATTAGTCACTTTTAAGGAAGGAAGGAAAGGTATTATTCCTTAATTTAATAACTTTATAAATGCTTTCATATGCCTGGCTTTTTTTTAAAGATGACTAAATAAAAGACTGATCCATTTGTTCTTAATAAACTTACATGAAGTTGCAAGATGCTGAAATTTGACTTAACAGGACAAAGTTCCCAGGTTTCATTTTCTAGAAACATTCTCAGTTCATCAAGACGCGTTCTTAAAAAAAGAAAACAAATACTTCAAAAAGTAAGAAGAGAAGTATAGTGTATGTAAGAATTAAGAAAATACAACAAATAGAATTATCATAAATCAATTTTGAAAATCCATTCAGACCAACAGAGTAAACACAAACATTTACTTTTATATACTTATTAACAGCGCATCATCCATTAGAGAAAAACCTCAAATATCTACTAAACTCAGAATATTTTTACTATATTGCAAAAACATGGATAAAAAAAATGAATGCATAGAAAATGACATTTTTATTAAGGAACTAATAAACTAAAGGCTATTCACCAATTTATGTACTTAAAATATCCTTAACTAAGCATATATCAGTGCCAAAAAACAGACAAATAATTTATAGCGTTTATGAAACCATAAATACTAATAAATGTTTTACGCTAAGAAACAGCTCTTAATCATTCTTACTAAGCCACAGTAGCAAGATGATTATCACTCTCCAAATACATTTTAGCTCGGTGCCTATCTACTTCCACACAATTAAACCAATTAAATAAATTTATCAATTAAATTAGCAAGTATACCATTTATACACCCAACACTGCACTAGACACAGAGCTACTGCTCTTACTGCCTCTCCTGAGTAATCAGTACATTACAGGGACAACTGCAGGAAAACAAATACTTCCTTCCCGTTAACCCGAGAACCAAAGGGCAGTGCCAGTCCTATTCTTTCCCTTCCTGCAACAAGCCTCCCTGCTGTTACTATCTTGCTGAAAACGAAATCGAAATCGAGATTTTTTTTTTAATCCCCAAAGAACTGGGGGATTGAAAAGACATGATAGAGGATAAATGGTAAAATGACATAGATATTATAGATCATAGATAGATGAAAAGACATAGATAGAGGATAAATGGTAAAATCTGTAAAAAGCAGAAATTGTCCCAAATATTATAGTTAATAGACAAGAACTTAAAGATAACTACTATAAATAAATAAAAGAGAAAAAGATGCAGAAAATGGACAGAAACGAGAATTTCAAAGAACTGCAATAAAAACAAAAAAGAATCAAGCAAACATTCTATAACTGACAAATACAACACCTCAAATTAAAAATTGGATAAGTAAAACAGCAGAAGACAGGTTTAGCGAGTGTGAAGACAGTTCAATAGAAAATATCCAAACTGAAGCACAAATTGTGAAAAAAAAAAAAAGGAAGAAACAGCAAAGATCATAAGAGGTATGTGAGACATAGTCAAAACCTCTAGTATGCATGCAACTGGATGGAAAGGAGAGACAGAAGGAGCAGAAGCAGTATCTGAAGAGGTAATGATTGAGCATTTGGTAAAAGTGATTGTGCGCACACCTCTCATCATATACAAAAATCATCTAAAATGGATCACAGACCTAACGTAAGAACTAAAACTATATAAGTTTACAACTCTTAAAATTCAACAAAAAGACAACCCCATTAAAAAATGGGTAAAGGCTTTGAAAAGACATTTTTGCCAAGAAAAAATATAAATGATCAATAAGCATGCAAAAAGATGCTGACATCATCACTCATTACGAAAGTATAAACCCAAACCATAATGAGGTACCACTTCACAATCACTAGGATGGCTATGTTCAAAGAGACAGACAATAACAAGTGCCAGCAATGACTTAGAGAAATCAGGACCCTCAAATATAAAATAGTGCAACCACTCCGGAAAAGAGTTTGGTAGTTTCCCAAAATATTAAACACAGAATCACCACATAACCCAACAATTCCACTCTGTGTTGGTTTCCTGTGGCTGCTGTCACAAATTACCAAAAACCGGGTGACTTAAACAACAGAATTTATTATCTCACAGTTCTGGAGGCCCAAAGTCTGAAATTACTAGGGTGAGATCAAGGTGTCAGCAGGGCTACACTCTCTCCAGAAGCTCTAGAGGAGAATCTGTTTGTTGCATCTTCCAGCTTACACTGGTTGCTGCCATTCCTTGGCTAATGGCCATGGCACTCCAATCTCTGCCTGTTTTCACATAACTTTCTCGTGTGTGTGTTTTCCTCTGTGTCAAATCCCCGTTTCCCTTCAACTGTCATGTCATTTAGGGTCCATCCAAATAATCCAAGATAATCTTATCACAAGATCATTAAATTGTTCACATCTACATTTTTTCCAAATAAATCAACATTCACAGTTACCAGGTATTCAGAACTGCTTTCTTTTTTTTTTTTTTTGCTTGGGGTGGGAAGGCTGGGGAAATCAACTTTCAGCCTATCATACACTCCCAGGTACATACCCAAAGAACTGCCAATATATGTCTATACAAAAGCTTATACACGAATGTTCACAGCAGCATTATTCATAATAGCTAAAAAGCTATTCAAAATAGCTAAAAAGCTAAAAACCTAAAAATCCATCAACTGAGGAATAAATAAAATGTGGTATATTTATACAATAGAATATTACAGCCATAAAAAAGAAAAAAGTTGTTACATGCTATAGCACGGATGAACTCTGGAAACATTATGCTAAGTGAAAGTCAAACACAAAAGGCCATATAGTATATGGTTCCATTTATATAAAATGTACATGCAGTACATAGAGACAGAAAGTATATTAACGATTGTCAGGGGCTGCAGCAGGAGAAAAGTGACAATTCACTGGTACAAGGTTTCTTTTGGAGTGATAAAAATATTCTGAAATAGATAGTAGTGGTGGTTGTTGCTGAATTATACACTTTAAAGGAGTCAATTTTTGGCATTTTTAGTTATGTGGCATATCTCAATAAAGCTATTATTAAAATAACTATTGCGGTAGACAGGACTCTAAAATGGCCCTCCCCGCACCTGGCAATATTGTCTGCTCTAATCCCAGGACTAAGTATGATGAAAGCCCACCCTATGATTACGTTACCAAGTGTGGCAAAAAGGGACTTTGCATATGTAGGAAGATTACTAATCCACTTGACTCTAAGTTAATCACAACAGAAATTATCTAGGTGGAACTAATCTAGTTGAATACACCCTTTAAAGCAGCTTTTTCTCTCTTGACAGCAGAAGGGGAGGTCAGAGAGAACTGCACCCCTTTAAATGAAGGCGTCAGGTCCAAGGACTGGAGACCAGCTTCTAGAAGCTGAGAACATTCCGTAGCTGACAGTTAACAATAAAATAGCAACCTCAGTCCCCAAACCACAAGAGCTGAATTCTGCACACATCCTGAACGTGCTTAGATGCGGATTCTTCCTGGAAGTCTTCAGAGGAGAGCCTACCCAACGCCTTGATTCCGGCCCCGTGAGAACCCAGACAAGCTGATCTAGGCTTCTCACCTACAAAGCTGAGAGCTAATAAATGAGTGGAGGTTTAAGCTGCTAACATCACCACAATCTATCACGTAATAACGTAAAACTATTATAGGGATAAAAGACACCAACTCACAGACTGAAGAAGCTTAGTTAATCCTATCCATAAAAATTACAGAAAAAATAACATAGAAAGTAAAAGTATATGACAAAAATACTAAAAGGGTAAGAGAATTACTAAGTTGGTTCTCGCCTTACTAGAAGTGTATTAACCCAAGGTCAACCGTGACAGAGAAGGAATGCAAACTGGAATGTAGAATACACATTTTAAAGGTTAGAAAAAGGTGGGGAAGGTACAGCTCAGTGGTAAAGTGTATGCTTAGCATGTGCAAGTTCCTTGGTTTAATCCCCAGTACCTCCATTAAAAAATAAGTAAATAAATGTAATCCACCTCACACACACACAGACAAAATTAAATTAAACAAACAAAAAAAAGTTAGAAAAAATACAAAAATTTAAAATATACATGATTAATCCAAAAGAAAGTAGAAAGAGAAAAAAATGAATGAAAACAGAATTATCTACACTTGCAGAAACCAAACAGAAATATGGTGGGTACACCATCAAATACATTAAGTAGAAATGAAAAAAAAAAACATTTCAATCAAAATACAAAAAATGTCAAGACTGGATATTAAAATAAGAAAACATAACAAGACTATACACTGTTTACAGGAAGCACACTTTTTAAATTCAAGATTGAAACTAAAACTGGGTTGAAAGTAAAACTAGACTGAAAGTGAAAACTACAAACAAACATGATCTCCTAAAATCATGACCTAGGGTGGAATTTTTATCAAAACTATTTTATCTATTAAAATGATCATTATGGTATTTTCTTGTAGTTGTTAATTAGTAAACTAAATTTATTAATTTCTAAAATGCTTAGCCAGTCTTGTTTTCCTGCAATAAACCCTGCCTCTTCATGATGTATTCTCGTTTTTAGATATCACAAGATCTAATTTGCCCATCTTTTGGTTTGGGATTTTTGCACTTATGTTCTCATCAGCTACTAGCTGTCATTCTCCTTTCTTTGTAATGTATTTGTTATGTTTTGGTATCATCATTTGCTACAATGGCCTCGTAAGATAAGTTGTTGTGAAGTATTTCTTCTATTCTTTCAGTTTATTGATATTACTTCCCCCTTAAATGTTTAGCAGAATTTATCACTGATAGCAGGCCTGGAGATTTCTTTGTGGAAACACTTTGAAGCAAAGATTCAATTTCTTTCAAGATACAGGACTATTCAGATTTTCTATATTTTCTTTTATTTTATACTATATTTTATTTTATCAGCTTATTAAATCTGATTTTACAAGAAATTCATTCATTTCATTCTAAATTATCAACTTTATTAGCTGAAGTTGTTTATATTATTTTATTTTACTTTTAATGTCTGAGTATCTACAGATACTTCCTTTTTAACTGCCAACATGGAGAATTTGTGTTTTCTTTTTCTTGGTTAGTCTTGATGGTGGCATGCATTGCAGATTTCTCTCTATTACACATTTGCTTTTCTTTCATTGATTTCTGCTCTTATAATTTACTTCTAACTCTTTTGGTTTAATTTGCTTTCATTTTTATAACTTCTTGAAATAGAAGTTTAGTGCATTGATTTTCAAACTTTCTTCTTTACCAAAATATGCATTTAAAGCTAAAAATTCCCCCTTCTGCTTTAG